TAATAACATTAAGTCATTAGAATTAGAAATTCTAATGCATTTTATTTGTGATCGAATCGATTATTAAAGTAAAAATTAAAATTAAAAACATAACCGTATTTAATTAATGAAAGTTTTTCTGCGAAGTGCTATTTTTCATTAACTCATTTTTTTGCATATTTATTTAAGTGCATGCGTCCGAATTTTCGCATTAGATTAACGATATGTTATTATATATAATAAAATTTGTTATTAATATTAAGTTCTACTCTAGTGGCTTTCTGAGTCAAAATGCGTTTAAACTTATCGCATTTTGATCGACGAATACATACATTACGATTTTATTCTCATGCTTAACGTATGGTACACTGTATGATGCAGTACTTGCACTAGCCTAATAGCTCAACGCTCAAGCCAGTCTAGTGGTGCAGCTGACGCGCTAGTCTGGTGTCCCATGCGTTCCAAACAAGCGGCAGCTCATCCGCGCCATCTTAAGGACGGATCACGCGCGAGTTCTTTCTCAGTGTGCGTATCTAATTTTTTTCGCCCAGCTATCTATTTTATTTAATTAAAACCGAGCCGCTAATATTGTTTCAGATTTTTCTGTAGCTTTAAACAATACTTTTTTAAAAAACTATTTTTGTTAATTTTTAATGTGTACTGGTGAGTTAAATATAGAATGACTTTATCCACACAGAGAAAACTCTTGCATTCGCAATGTTGCTTCTATACGGCTTTAATAGCGACCATGTACATACTTTGATATTTCATCAAAAATTTCTGTATCGTCTTCTTTACCACTCGTATCTGTTTTCATCATTTTACATAATGCTCTATCTCCTCCTTTAAAAATGTAATCGAAAGTATACTCTAAACTTTGGTTGTTCCAATTTTCAAAAAATGTATCTTCTTTTCGAATCTGAATCCTGATTAAAATTTAGTTTGTAATTATATTTTGAAACTAAATAAATGTAGAGTAAGATTTGTTAGATATAATTTATCGACTGAATTATAGTGTGAGGCCAGAATGTTTTTACAAAAGTAAATACTTTATAGTTTTACTAATTATAAGACTTTTCGAAAGAAAACCAACACCTGGCCAGCTCATCGGGTGAAGTCATTGTCGGTTATAAAAAGATTAGTACAGCCAGTTAGATAGTTTATTGGAAGGTATTTTTGGCTGCAAAACAAAAGGGCACAGTCATCAGAAGCGCACAAACCAAATGATAAAAAGCGCACAGTGTGCTTATAAGTGTGCAATAAGCTTTTCTTATTTTTTGGTGGAAACAAAACTTTTCGTAGAAACAAAATATAAGAAAAATGTATCTGCTAACTACGAGATTTGTTAAATTTATGACGGAAAAACAAGTAAATAAAAGAACAAGTTGATTTGGCGCCGACTTCTCTTGATTTTCAAATTTTGACTACAGTTTATTTTTAAAGTTTGTCTAATCGTTGTTTACTAATGAAATAAATTTTTAAATAAAATAATACGTACGCACGTATGTGTGTAGGTAGGTGCCGCGGTCTGCAAAGGTAAGTAGGGTGCCAGTAAGATTCCACAAAATAGAGTAGAGGAGTGGGGGGCCAAAAAAAATGTTGACGAGGTGGTGGAGGTACGTAGGGGGCTTCTGTGGGTTTTGAGAGATTGTGTATAATGTAGAAATATGTATGCATAAATATTAATCAAGGTGACTTATGTGCATACATAGTGTAAAGAAAGATTAGTATAAGGACAAAATTGTATTTATGCGTACGGTCCGCATAACTGTCCAATTTTATTAGTTTGCATCCTTGTAAAGTCTGCATTAGTCACCTGACATGCATACATATATATATATATATATATCCCCAAACTGGTCTNGAAGCATATTTACAATATATATATATTTGTTGAAAGTGACTCATGCAGATTTCTCGAGCTTTTAAGATATGTGTTAATAATAGGTAAAATGATAGAAGCGTCTGCATAACGGTTAATTTTTTCGCACGTAAAGTCTACATGAATCACTTTCATCGAACAAAAATAAATTTATTTTAACACACACACACACACACACACACACACACACACACACACACACACACACACACACACACACACAGAGAGAGTTCTCACGCTTGCCCACGTCTCCGCTTCAAATATAGACTATGACATTATTTTTTTCGACTCTCTCAAAAGTTCTCTTTTTTGTATTCGACCATCTTAAACAAAATTGATTTTTTTTTTAAGTCACTAAAGAATGTCAATCATCTAGAAAACAGCAATGAATAGGTAGAACGAGTAGAATACTTTGTTAAGATCGTAAATGATACTGTTTTTGGAGTTATTATGAAGTACAAAGCATGGAGCAACATTATTTGAACATTAAAAACTATATCACTCTATAAATATGAAACGTTTAAACATGCTACATTTGCTAAGGGTTTATTTGATTATGAAACTGACATCGATAAAATCTTTTAAGAAGCTAGCATATATAGTATTTTTCATAAATCAAAAAAAATTTCAATTTCTTATTATTGTTTTTTTGCAACCAGAGGTCCACTACTCCCTATAAAAAGGCCCGGAGGCCCCAAAAACTTGCTTACTTGATTTTCAACCCTGTAACGGTAGACTCAGTAATTTCAGTCCGCTTCTGCTATCTCCCAATCTACCGTGAGGTAAGGATATGGTTCATTTTTACTCTCGAACTGTCGAGTGAATAGCTAGAGTCTGCCTCTACTACCATACGGTTCTTCACAAATGCGGTTCAATTTCGGTTTCAGTTATCTCGCGCTGGTTTACCACGCGCAGAGTTTTTTTTTCAATAAAAATAAGTGTAATATTTGTTTTATTTTTCTAATTTCTTCTTCTTTTTCCGGCGCGGGCATAAAATCAACGTACACACCATTACTCGCAACAGTATTGGTACTTTTGGAATTCCGGGAAATAAACAATCAATTGAAACATATGTAAAAATCTAGAACAAATAACATTGACAAATCTTAGGCACGCCGCAAGTTAGTGTATTGGGACACTACACAACTACCGCTTCGAGCCATTGCAATTTGATTCCCTTCACTCTCAAACAGTCGTACCCCCTTTCCGAGTACCCCTACCGCGCAATTAAACTATTTTCTAGCCCCACGTCCCACGTACGCGCCCATTGTGAGTCCTGAGTTATGAAGTGCAAGCTTAGGCTCGAAGAATATGTCGCACCGACGCGCGACGTAACAACGTATTTTAAACTCACGATCACTTTTTAAGTTTAAAAAATTCCAAAAATACAATGCAAATATTGAAAAACTATAGTATTTGTATCGTTTCCCAGCTTAACGGAAGGCTGATTATGTATTCATGACGTGAGCGCGTGGTGGCTCGGTCGGCTGGTTTGTGGGACGGCATGCGGGAGACTGCGGGTTCAATTCCCGGCCAGTGCGACTTTTTCGAGCAAGTACCTCTGTGATTTTCATACGTGCTTTTTCACCACGCGTTCCTCGTGAAGGGATGGGGCGACCTTCTCGCAGCAAAAACTGCCTACCACCTAGATTCTTAGCTGAAGTGGTCTTTGTGGACATCATCACTGAACCAAGAAATTAAATAACCGTATCCAATAATGTAACACATGTGAAACCAATATAATGTTGATGTTTGTATAACCAATAATGTAATAATTTACTGTACCCAGGCTATTTGTACTCGTTTACAATAAAAGACTTAAAAATAACTACACGTACATTCCTGACGTCACGACCATCTTGAGCAATAAAAAGCCTGTTGAGCTCCACAGGATACAGTTGAGTTTTGTGTAATTTCAATAATTATTTTAGCCATGAAAATGGCATTAAAAAATTCTAGAAAAAATATTTATAATGAAAAATTAGAAGATTCAGGAAAAAGTTTTTTTTTAATTCATGAGAAATGATAATTTGAAAAAAAAAGAATACGAAAAATGTGAATTAAACAATTAAGCCTTTTTACACATAAATTATATTATTAAATATGAGGTTAATCATGCTTCACGAAAAAAATTAATCCAAACTATCGTAGCACTTAAAAAATTGCACTCTGTAAACACATATTTTATTCTATGTATCTTTTGTTAGATGCTAATAAAAACTAGAGGACAGTGGATGCTTGGGTACCTAAGCATGAAGTTATATCTCTATAAAACATACCATAACAAGAAGTAATCGCGTTTTCAATGTCAGGAGAGCTCATAGAGTCGGTAAGGGATTCCGTTTGGGTGAAGGAGGTCAGAGGTTTGAATTCAGTAGGAAAGTTTTTTTTCTTCTTCTTGAGAATTAGTTAAAGAAAAATATATAAGATTAAATAAAATTTGAAATGTATGCTGTGCTGCGCTGGCATAGTGTCGTATGGTGTGGTGTGGTGTGGGGGGAAAAAGACACCGCGCGGTAAGGAGAGGGGGACGGGAAAAAGGGGAAGTAACATGCAAAATCCACTTCCGTCACACGTTTTCTTAAGGTCACCAATCTGAAATCGTTGATTTACTGTAGCGCATAACGCGCCTGTAGAGCAAACTAATAATAGTTATTTACGTTACAAGTGCGGAATAAAAGATTTCTCGCACGAGTTGTGATTGACACTCACAAGTGGCCGAAGTTGCTGGGAACGAGTACCAGTTGAGCACACAAGTGAGTAGCACGAGTGTGATCGCAAGGTACGAGTTAGCGTCACCGGCCACGAGTGCGAGTCTATCACACAAGTGCGGGAAATCGTCCCGCACGAGTTGCGTACAAGTTTTTTCGCAATGTGTGAGGAAAATAGGTACAAAGTAGGTATGAATTTTGATTACCAGTGTGTAGCAAAATTTTTTCCGGTGTGTGGCAAAATCATTTCCGTACACCTTTTCCGCACACTTTTTCCACACACTGTGCGACAAAAACCTTTGCCACACACCTTTTCCGCACACTGTGTGGAAAAATTTTTGCCGCACGTTATGTGGAAAAATCGATTTTCATATGAGTCAGACATTACGTTGCTTAATCACGATGGATCTGTATATAAGCCAGCAGGTATGCTACGACAAATTGAAATCGAAGCAAACGGAAAGTCTGTATCTGCTGATGTTTACATCACAAATGCGAACGGGCCAGCAATAGTCGGTCGAACGTGGCTCAAAGCATTTAATTTGTGGCCTCTATTTCTCGATTTAAAATATCAAACGATCAAACCAAAGGTTGTAGTGAACGAGAAATTGAAAAGTATAATAAAGAAACATGAAGCGGTATTTACGGGCCGGGGAAAATTTACAAAAGGCGAAGTAAAATTAGAATTAAAAGAAGAGGCCAAGCCAAAATATTTGCTTGCACGATCGGTACCATTTGCGTTGAAAGAGCGAATTGAAAATGAATTAAAGCGATTAGAAAGTCAAGGAACAATCGAAGCGATTGAGCACTCTGAGTGGGCTACTCCAATAGTGCCAGTGCTTAAACCAGATAACAGTATACGTATGTGTGCTGATTTTAAAGTCACTTTAAACCCGCAATTAATCACGGTAAGGCATCCAGCGCCTAATTTTGTACATGCAGTTGCACAGTTACAAGCTGGGGTTAAATATTCAAAGTTAGACCTAAAAGAAGCATATTTACAGATGCCGGTCGAAGAGAAGTCTCAGATGTTGCTTACTATTAACACACACATGGGATTATTCAAATACAAGTACATGTCATTTGGAATAAGTTCAGCCCCGGGAATTTTCCAATTACGTATGGAGGAAATTTTAAAAGGAATTCCCGGAGTAGCGATTGTAGTAGACGATGTGGTTGTGACGGGTAAAACTACAGATGAGCATTTGACAAATTTAGATAGAGTCTTAGGAAAATTAAATGAATGTGGACTTAAAGTACGTGTGGAAAAATTCAAATTTTTTGAAGATAAGATTACGTACTTAGGTTTCGAAATTAGCGGTAACGAAATAAAAGTCGATTCACATAAATATCAAGCGATTGATGAAATGAGTAGACCTAAGGATCATAAAGATTTACAATTGTTTTTGGGTAAAATTAATTATTATGGAAGGTTAATAAATAAGCGTGCAGAAAAACTTGCAGCGTTATACGAATGTCAGGGAAAGGAAGAATTTGTGTGGAACGAGGCATGCGAAAAAGCATTTGTAAGTGCGAAAGAGAGTTTGAAACAAGCCGTTGTTAACTATGATCCTAAACTACATCTAATTTTGACGTGCGATACATCGCCGCTAGTATTAGCAGCATATTTAAGCCAACCCTATCCAAATGGTGATAAACCAGTAGCGTTTGCGTCAAAACGTTTATCAGAAGCGCAAAAAGGGTACTCGCAAATCGATAAGGAGGCGGCTGCAATAATTTTTGGAGTATCGTGGATTTATGATTATGTATAGGCATGTAAATTTATTTTAAGAACCGATAACAGACTGATTTATAGAATTTTCGGACCAGAGATTACTTATTTACATTCCGTGGTCCAAAGTGAAATTGCTCGTTTTGATTATAAAACTGTGGCTCGCGAGACGAGTAATGATAAAATTTTATCAATTGTAAAGCGTCTAGTGGAAAGCGGATGTAAAGTGAATGGATGGCCTGATGAATTAAAAAGTTATGCACAACGTAAGGACGAATTATCAGTTAAGCGAGGCTGCCTAATGTGGGGACAGCGTGTTATTATACCACAAAAAGTTCGAAAGCGTATTGTCGAACAATTACACGAGTGTCACTTTGGCATCGTTAAGATGAAATCTCTGGCAAGGTCGGTCGTATGGTGGCCCAGCATCGATAATGAGTTGGAAAACGCAGCAAAGTATTGCCAAAATTGTGTTCAGGTAAACGATTCTCCTCGAAAAATGGTGTTGACGCCGTGGCCATCGCCTGACCACCCTTGGCAGAGATTACACGCAGATTTTGCGGGGCCGTATATAGGTTTTACATATTTTTTGCTAGTGGATGCGTATTCGAAGTGGCCAGAAGCATGTATTGTAAAAAATTTGTCTGCAAATGTGACAATCGATTTATTTAAAAAAATTTTTTCGGTTCACGGACTGCCACGTCACGTAGTGACAGATTCAGGATCACAGTTCAAAAGTGAAGAATGCCAGACATATTTTAAAAATTTAGGCATTTAGCAAACCTTTTCTGCGCCAAATCACCCAGCAACAAATGGCGCTGCAGAGAATTTTGTCAAAACGTTTAAACGTAAAGTAAAAGCAATAATGAATAGCACAGGAGTTGATGTACAAACCGCGATTGATAAATTTTTATTTGGTTATAGAACTACGAAACATTCAACAACAGGCGAAACACCTGCCAAATTATTATTTAAGCGTAAATTAAGAACTTCTTTACATTTAGTACAACCAGATGTCAAATATTATGTTACACATGATCAGAAAAACCAAGTAAAAAATTATGTTGGGAAACGATGCGAAGAATTTAAACAAAACGATTTAGTTATGGCAAAAGACTTCCGTAAAAATTTCGACCCAATGACCAAAGCGGAAGTTTTCAAAGAACTATCTCCAAACAGTTGTTTAATTAAATTTAAAGGGGGAGGAATCCATAAAAGACATGGAAATGAATTGCGCCATTGGCGCGCGAACACAAACGATATACAAAATCAGAACACTGTAATTAGCGAAAATGACAAAATTTGTAACGAGCCAATTAACAGAATTTTAAGGCGATCAAATCAAACTGTAAGACCAGTTCAGCGTTATGAAGCGGAGATATGATTTTATAATTCATAGACACATTTGTTACATAATATTATTAAATGTATTTTCTTTAATAAACAGTTGTAATCACTTAACGAAATAAAAAAGGGGAGATTGTAGTATATATGTATGAACGAACGTGTACGAGCGAACGACTGGAGCGCCGCGACGCCAAGCTTAGATAATAGAAACATATGTACCTACATTACAGTTTAAATAAAAGTCAGTTACTTCCAAACAGCAGTCGGGTTCACTCATACCTCTTCCTAAACTGAATAACCATTCACTTTTTTTTGTCAACCTATTTACTTAAAACGGATAATGCTTAATTATTCTTTATAAAATTTAGAGAATAACCATGAATTATCAGCTGGTGAGTAGATCCATAGAATTTCCGTTTTCGCTGTTAATATAATTTCACATTATTTTAGTACTTCTGTTCCAGGTCGTAATAGTATGCAAATTTCCTATGTGTTCATTGAATAGGGTTCTTTTAACGGTTCTATAGCCGAGCATGTATAACCGTATGCTGTTTTATCACATAGTTTAATGTAATTCCGTTTAATCGTAAATACGAATTATGGCCTGCTGCTACTGGTAAGTTAGGCTACGATGGTCTTGTGTAGGCAGATCGATTTTATTCAGGTTGAGGTATCATGACTAGATGTAGTCCACAAAGAGTATAAGAGAATCGATCTACAAGTGGCAAATGGAATATTACCATGGTTCTATTTTTTTGATGCACATCTAATTTGCTTAAAGTGCTTATTTGACCAGCATAAAGATCCTCTATTGGTGCTACAAATTATAGATTCATTGCTAGGTTCTTTACATCCTGGACTACGGTTCTGAATGTATTTAGAAAAATAGCTTTGGATGTGCTTGACCTCTTTGTTAGTTGTGCATGATGTCAATCAGATCTTTATGGAAACAAATTATATGATCTAAAGTAGTCTTAGTTCCTTTGAAGTAAGTTTGTTAATATATCAGATATCTGTCAAGAATAAAATCTTTTCCTTAAGTCAATGTATCAGCAACTTGTTTTAGAATACGCTCATGCCGATTCATAGTAATACATGGTTCTTTGAATGCAGCTGCAAAAATATGGCTATTTTGTTCATATACTTTGTTATATTTCTTTTGATTGGCATGCAAATTACTGATGTAAGTGCTTATAAAATTGATATCGTCTTCAGTGACTAAGCTAAAAAGTCCTTTAGTAATGTTTCCAATAGTTCCTGTAGGTGTCAGTCTTTTCGTTCGTATGCTGGGAGGAGGAATAATGTTATCTCCCGCATGGGTTCCCACAGTATTTATTATGTGCAGTAGCAGAGATTAGTAGAGAGATTGCTGACTGCAATGCTACGGCACGAGTTCACGTTTAGCCACTGTTTTGAGCGCCCCGTCGCGGCGAAGCAGTCGAACCAGGCGCACATATTTTTTTTTTATTTGAGAAGCGTGGAGGGGATATACTGAGTGTGTGCCCACGGATTCGCGCGGAAATGGGCATGTAGGCACATACTTTGGAGACGCGTGGAAGGGGTATACTGAATATGTGCCTATACGGAGAGAGGAGTGGTGCATGGAAATGCCGACAACAGACATATAATATATCATACATAAATATAACTAAATGACAGCGTATATCACAGCAAAAGCAAGCGATGAGTCTTTCTTGCTATACTTACTTCTTAAATAAGGTCTTAGAAATTAAAGGGATACAGAGAAAAAAGATTTTACATCTTATGCTTCTAAAATAAAAAACTTATTCTTTCATTTTACAATTCTCTATAACATATGAAAGTTTAAGAAAGGCTAGCCATATTATTTATCGAAAATTAAATCATACAAATAAATGCTTACACAATTGTAAGCTCAGACTTTCAAGGCATTTATTTTTTAGTTCTTCCTGTACTTTTGATTTTTGTAGAGTACTGTTTAACAAAGTAAGAACGTTGAAAAAACATTTTTGAGGTTGACAGTATGATTATAAGCACCTTAAATATGTTTTTACTTATCATAATCGCTATGAACTGTAGGTCAAGCTCCAGAGGGTATCAATGAACATATGTAACTTCAGATTATGTAGGGACTGAAGTTTGAGTAGCTGAGATGGCAAGGTTTTATGCCGCCAGTAACATATTTTGGCAATTCGGAGTTCAATTCCACTTGCCGTCAGATTTTTTTTTTTTTAATGTAATTCAGTATTCTGTTTCAATTTCTTATTGTAACTTTCGTTTTAATTTATGAATATTGTCAACACTTTTTTTTCGGGCGCGTCAAAAAAATTTTATTTTTAATACTGACTCTATCAAATAATGTTTTACGTTAATAGTTACAGTTTTCAAGGCTATTTTATCATTTCATAACACTAAACAAATGATTTTTAAGGTTATGAATAAAATTTAAACGTTTTCAAAGTTTCCAGAAATGATAAACATCTAAATTACGAAAGAAAATAGCCATAGGCCCAAAAAATTTACTTTTGTTTTAATAATATATTTACAATTATTACCAGTAAATTTAAGTATTTTTTTCAATTTAAAAAAATGGGTGCTTAATATTTTCATGCTGTTTCGGCACATAGATATTAAAATTATATCTAATCCTACAATTTAAATTGCACTTTTAGTTCTGGCAACATTTTGATTAGTAATAGTGCGTGTTATGCAATACATAATACTTAGCATAAATTAATCTAATTGTTTGTATGTGATAGAATTGATCATCAAAATGCAAGGCAGTTACTTTGCTTTTGTTTAATTATCATAGTATGATATTATATATATAGTTTTGTCTAATGATAAGTTACCAAAATTTTTTTTAAAAATCGGGTACACTTTAAGATTTAGTTGATACATTTAATTATGCAAGCTTTTGAATTTTTGTTTTCTTTTACTTACAGTGGCTTTAATAAATGCATGCAAACTCTATGTATTGTTAAAATTGATACAACAATTCCCTTATTTGCAATATCAAATTAATTTTAAAAATGATTTTATTTTATACAGCACGAATTGCTTGATTTTTATTTTTCTTCATTTTACAAGGTTTTTAGATTTTTTTTTTTTTTTTATCAAATAATAATTTCACTTTAATAAAATAAATATTATGCTTTTCTTAACAGATTTAACTAGTCAACCGTTAGTTTAAAAAAGCTCTTTAATGTCTTCTACTCTGAAAGGACTCTTTCTTGCGCTGACCCACCGATATTATTCAGCGATTTAAGAAGTTGTAAGACTTAAAAAACGTTGAACCACATCCTAAAATGTTAATTAAAAGCGGGCCTTACTTTAAATAAACGAATTTGTCGTACGAAGTCTTCAAAAAATCCACTCAGTTTTCTGACACTCTAAAAAGCTATCGTTAAATGTTTTAGTATTTTCTCTGCAGTAAGAATATTATTTAACAATATTAAATTATGTTAAGTATCAAATTGTAAGTTTGAGTCATTTATTGCAATCTATTGTTTTTTGTAATTAAACAATGGTATAAGATATTTAAGAACAAACCAAACTACATTCATTATTTTTAGCTACAGTAGGTATTAAAATGTACATATATAAATTACAACCTCAGATGTGTAAAACCTTTCAATGTAGTCATAATGTTTATCACATTAAATTAAACTTATTCTATTAAAAAAAAACTCTTATGGAATGTGCGAAAATAGAAAATGTGGTTTTTTCGTACTGTATAGAATAAGATCTTGTTAAGAATTGAATTGAAATTACAAATTAGGAAACTGTTTTATAAATCTTATTGAAATACTAAACTTGAATGTATGAATTGAAAGAAAACCATTGTTTTATTGTTAAACATAAAACTGTATAACGTATGAAGAGATTTAAAAAAATGTAATTGTTTGATTTTTCCCTAAGTAAAATTAATGTATGTATAAGAATATTTGTTTCCCCTAAATAATACAACAATCTGCATAAAAAAATCAAGAAATTGTCAAGAGGTACGGCAACCTCAAAAAGCTATGATGATTGTTTTTCTCAAGTCATCGTAACAATATGAAAAAATAATCCTTCTGAGTCCTGAATCATTGACATCGGTCGAAAAGTCTGAGATCACACACATGCGAGCATACGAATACGTTAAAGATTTATATGATCTACCAAGTATTTACTTAGTTATCAATGTTACTATCATTTAAATTATTACCGTAAAAATGATAAAATAGCTTTGCAAACTATAACTATTAACGTAATACATCGTTTGATAGAGTCAGTATTGAAAATAAAATTTTTTGAAGCGCCCGAAAAAAAGTGTTGACAATATTCATAAATTAAAACGAAAGTTACAATAAGAAATTGAAACAGAATACTGAATTATAGTTATATGTCTGTAGTCGGCATTTCCATGCACCACTCCTCTCTCCGTATAGGCACATATTCAGTATACCCCTTCCACGCGTCTCCAAAGTATGTGCCTACGTGCCCATTTCCCCGCGAATCCGTGGGCACACACTCGGTATATCCCCTCCATGCTCAAATATAAAAAAAAATTCGTGCGCCTGGTTCAACCGCTTGGCCGCGATGGGGCGCTCGAAACAGTGGCCAAAAGTGAACTCGCGCCGTAGCATTGCAGTTAGCAATCTTTCTGCTAATCTCTGGCAGTAGTGTTGCTTTAAGATTTTTCAGTCGCAATATCTTTAAATTCAAAAGGTCTATTTCCATATAGTTAGTACAATAAGGATAACCAAACTGTACAGTACAAGATATAAAGGATTCATTTAATTCTTAAGTAGGTATGTGTTTTAATACAGATTTAATAATATCCAGCCATATGTCTATCGTCCCATCAACTCTTTTAATTTTTGTAATACGGGTTCGTTTATAGTATATTTGAGGGTTTGTTTCCAGTGGTTCTATGCTATAGACCACCGGCCAGAGAACCATCAAGCACTATTGTCATTAAATTGGCCCATATAAGCCAAATCGTTGTTGCTGTTTTTTTTTTTTTTTTTTTTATGTCTGGAAGAGATATTGAATATAATTCTTGCAAGTTTACCACTATTGGGGAGTTAGTTTTAATTTATCTGTGTGTTCGTTTTTTTCAAGTAACATATTATTTACCTCTAAAACTGTTTTTACTTTTAGGGATTTATTATAGTAGCGATCAAATTCATGGAAACGTATCCCTTTCTTTATCCAAACATAATCTCATAGTTTAAGATTTAGAATCCTAAACTTTTTTCTCATATATTGTTTTTGCTTGTATTTTCATTTTTGTTGGTTGATTTCCTGCCACAATTAGCATTTCTTGAAGTCACTTCATAAGATCTTGCAAATAAAATGGATAGGTTCGTAGCCTTTCTTCTTTAGGTACTTTTAAGGGTAAGCTTTCTACTGTCCCAAATAGAAGTTCATAGAGCGTCAAATTTATTGCTGTATGTACACTCGTGTTATACGTGAAAGCTGCGAATTTTGCCAACTTTTCCTAG